AAAAATGAAACCATCTCGAGATTAAAGTCATTATAATACGAGATTAAACTCATTTAAAAAATTTTGAAATAAAATGTTGAGAATAAAGTCATTACATTATGAGAAAAAAGTCATTACATTTCAAGAAAAATGACGAAATAAAATGTTGAGAATAAAGTCATTACATTACGAGAAAAAAGTTGTAAAATGTAGAGAAAAAAATGTCGAGATAAAATGTTGAGAATAAAGTCATTTACGAGAAAAAATTGTTGTGTTTCAAGAAAAAAAGTCATTAAATTTAGAGAAAAAAGTCGTGAATAAACACACTCGTGTCATTCATTTAATCTCGTTGGACAGAGTCAAATCATGTCAGCAGTGGCGTAGGTTGCAGAGTAATGCGCGGGGATGTAGCGTGTGATGCGATCGACTAGGGTTCATAACCATCTTTAGCCGAACTCGCTTTTCTGCCTTTTCTCATCCCATATCACATATCACTTATCACGCACGGACGGACGGACGGACGGACGGACGGACAGGTAGATAGATAGATAGATAGATAGATAGATAGATAGATAGATAGATAGATAGATAGATAGGCCAATGGTTGACACTGTACTCTTAAAAATAAAGCTTCGTTTTTGGTATCAGTGGTTCCATGAAGAACCTTTAACATTGATGGAACTTTTCTACTAAACAAAAGATTGTACATAACGGAAAAAGGTTCTTCAGATTATTAAAATATTCTTTAAACTAACAAAAAAATTGTCCTTTAAAGAACTGTTCACTTAACGGTTCTTTGGGAAACCAAAAATTGGTTCTTCTTTGGCATCGCTGTGAAAGCCCCTTCTGGAATCTTTATTTTTAAGAATGTAGTTGAGCAAAAACACTTCACCTTTAAACCTTTTAAACTCACCCTCATTTAAGAGCATGCGTTCTTGCCCATTTTCTTTAACACTAGTTTCCCCACCAGTGAAGGTTTATCTTATTTTCCTCTTCCCAGATGCACCCTCTATTTTTCACATATCCTTTTTTTCTTTCAAACCCAATTTCAGAGTGTATGCGGAGACAGCTTCAGAACTGGTCGATCATGTTTTCCCATTAATTTGGCAGAGCTGGAGACGCCTTCCGATTACAGAATGAATAATAATCAGATTGCCACATTTTCCCTTCCTTCCTCTCTCTGTGGTTTAATTCACATGTATTAAGGAAATATCGTCTCCTGCGATGAAGACTTAGAAACGTGACGCTGTCGTTCTTGACTTAATAAACAAACAAGTCAAGTCCTGTTTTCAGCGGGACGTCCACAAGGCAATGCTCCAGTGGCGTTACATGGATTTAAACTGAAGATTAAATGCAAACTGGCATGTCTAAGCTGTTTTTCTAACCTCCAATGAATTTTCTGTCCTCGTTTCTTTGCCTTTGAGATGAGATGATGCAGCTGAAGTTTCACTTTATAATGATCATTTCTACAGTGGCAGCTTAGACAAAGCTGGGTTCAAAACTGCAAAGTCACCGTGATCTAAATGGGCTTTGTTTGGACACCAAAAAAGTCAGTGGTCCTCGAATTTGCAAATTATGCCGCCGCTTTGCTACAGTGGTTGCTAGGGCATTTCTATGCAGTTGCGACTAGCTGGCATTGTTCTTAGTCATAACTTATTCCTAAACTTTTGTCTATGCACTAAAAATATTGTTAAATTTACAGGAAAAAATGGGAACTGTGTTTTCCAGAAATTCTTAGTAAAAAAATCTGGCAACAATATCCAGTATTACGGGATGGCATATTGGTACCTATATTTTGGGATTTGAACTTTTCACTTTGTATTCTTTTTTTTATTTTTTATTAAAGTATTAAAATGTAGTGCATAATAGCACCATTTGTTCATTGGCCCAGGGTTAAGATTTTTAACTAAAACTATTAAAAATATTTTTTGTCAATTGAAATGAAATAAAATAAAATATAAATAGACCACAAAATTCAACTAAACAAAGCTTTAGCTTTACAGTAATTAAAACATTTTTAACTGAAAGAAAGCTAAAATAAAATATAAACAAAAAGAAAAAATAAGCTAAACAAAATTAACTGAAATAAGTTTAACCTGAATCAGCAAAATTATGGAAATAAAATAAAAATGAAATAAAAACAAACTAAACCTAAATGTTAAATAAATAAATAATATGCATAATCCGATATTATGTGATAGCATATTGGTGCCTGTATATTTTACTACTTATAACTTAGAATATTTAATTAAGTGATATATCATATAATATAAATATAATCTTGAACTACCAAAATCTGTATTATACCTTAAAATAATACCTTAAAAAAACACCCTAATGCACATTACTGATAACAAAAATGAGAAGCAAAATTATGTCATATGTGAATTATAATTATATCTGATGTGTCACATAGGAACATGATATAGTATTATATGGAATTATATAGTCATTCAGTTTTATTTGCAAAAAAAAAAAATTTGACAGTATTTTTACTGTAAAATTACATATAATGTGATGTTAAAGTTGAACCATTTACAATTTGTCACTGTATATATGGTAATGTGACTAATGTAATGTGCATTTTTTATAGTCTTTTATATGTGAATCATATCTCATGTGTCATGTAAGGAAATGTCATTTTCCTATTTTCACCACAAAGAAAGAAAGAAAGAAAGAAAGAAAGGTATTTTACCATAAAATTATATGTAATGCAATGTTAAACCATCTACAGTTTTCATAGTATATATCGTTTTCTGTAAAAATTACAAACATTTTTAGTGTATGGGTTCAAGTCCTTTCTCAAGTCCGTCGTCAGCCAAGTGAAGCTTAGAAGTACGATCAATTTGAAAATGATTTCTCAACAAGCTTCAGTGATTTGAGGCATCATTCATGTACAACCCACAAAACCAGAAGTGTGAGCAATAGTGAAATGTGACTTAGTGAACACAACTAATCAACTGTGTGCAATCACTGACTGTGAAGATTTGTAACCGATTTTCCATCATAAGAGAACTAAAAACCATGCATTTCTATACAGATTTAAATCAAAGTGTCAAAACAAAGTAATTTAAGATCTACCCAAATGATGCTCTTCATACATAAGAATATATAACATGCATTTCATAAACACGACTTACAGCCGTTGAGGGGGGGTTTCTACAGTCTCCATAGTGAGGTGACATGCTTCCCCCTACAGCTCAGCGGAGGCATTTTCAGCTCCAGCATGCACACACCTTGATCCTGTCTCCCTGACGCTGCCTTTCACACAAACACACACATTCATAAATCCAGAATCGATAAGTGTGCTATGATGTAATTTAATTCATACCACACCATAAGCGACTGTACAAACTGACGCAATAAAGAAATTTTGTCAAAGTGCTATCTAATAAGAGACTGTGTGTCCAAAGTAATGCCATCATCTAGCACAAATCCAGCTCCAATTACAATTTAATGAATCAGCCCACATTAGAGAGAATAAGACGCATTCATCACAAAGCGCACCGCAGAGATTGCAAGTCTAGTAGTAGCATTAAAGTTTAAAACGGGGATCTGGCTAAATGAATCTTGTTGTCTTGCACAGTTTTGTTTTATAACTAGAGTTTCATCATTTTGCGGGTTTCCTGTTTTCTCTGTTCTCCCAAAAGGCCAGACCTAAATAAACGTGGCATCAGCCAATCACAGTTTGACACTGAACGCAGAAGTATTGTCTTGGGAAAGTCACACATAGTTTATGAAACGACATCTAAAAGATTATTTGCATGTGTTATCAGCAGCGTTTGCTAATGCAAGCATCACAATTATTATTGCTCACACTTAGGATTGAGTTTTGAACTAACTAATAACCTAATAATTTATTACAATTATTCAAATTAAAGAATTCAAATTTAGTGCACATGAGCACAATTTGTGCAACAGCATAGGATTATCATTGTTAACTATATATGCATACATACATATATATATGTATCAGTGTTGTTAACTGAAATAAAATCTAAATATTAGATACAAAAAGTTAAACTAAACAAGACTTTACAGTATTAAAACATTTTTGTTAATTGAACTATAGCTGAAATAAAATATCAGTATTATATATAAAAATAAAATAAAACAGAACTTAACTGTACTTTTAAGTTTAACTTAAATAAGTTGATTCATCAAAATTACTAACTGGAACTAAACTAATACTGAACTAAAACTAAAACTGAAATAATGAAATTTAATATTACACGAAAAAATTCAACTACACAACTTATTAGTATTTTAGTATTTTAACTTTGAAACAAAGCTAACATTTTTTTTCTTTTAGCTATGCTGCAACTCTGGTTTTAAGTTGAACTTAGTAACTGAAATAAGTTTAAGTTGAACCATCAAAATTACTAAAATGGAAATAAATAAACCTAAACTGAACTAAAACAAAGTAAAATAAAAATAAATTCAATCAAAATAGTAATAAAATAATGGAATATAAATATTACATGACAAAATGAATCTAAACAAACTTAACTATATTAAATATTATATTTTTGTTCATTGAAATAGAGCTGAGATAAACTAAAATAAAATATTACATAAAAATACTTAAGCTGAATCACCATAAGTAATAACTGAAAATCAAATAAATCTGAACTAAATAACTAAAACTAAACTATAACTGAGAATAAATAAATTAATTAAACCTAAACAGTAAAATAAATAAATAAATAAAATTAATTAATTAAAAACTAAAACAGAAAATATTCAAATTACTTCTAAATATTAAATACATATTAAATAAAAAAATGAAATCATGCATCTTGGTCGAAAGGTGTGCTGTTACTCATGTAAGCCAAAACATGCACAAAAAAAATCTATTTAAGTTAGATTGCCGGATACACCAGAGTCATACAGTATCAACAGACCATAATACTTTGTGCTCTTTTGAATTAGTCCGGTAAGAAATAACCCAAAAACCCTAACAATGTCATAGCAACCAATGACAACACTGTACACATGTAAGCATTGCTTTTGACAAAAGATTAAAATAATGTACTTTATTTAGATACCAACAATAATCCAACAAATACACACCATTAACAATAACTATACTACTATAAAAACTTCAGAGCACAAGCGTGAATCTTTCACTGAGCTGGACTACAATTTTCCCCTCAGCAACCCTCTGTAATTCTGTCTTTTACCTTCTCCTCTATATTTGTGAAGTACTTCATTTGGGCCAGGAGCTCTTTGGCGGTCAGCAGATCCCCTGTGAAAAGAGACTCGTGAGGCAAACACAAAAACAGCTGTTTTCCACTCGCATCCCATGGAAATGTGCATGCAACCGGCCTTGGTGCTGAATTTCTGTCAAATTTGGGAGATCGTGAGGAGGAGAAAGAGAGAAAAATACCTTTGTTCAGAGATGAATTCATCCGTTCAGTCAAGTCTTTCAGTTTCTCTGGTGAAAGGAAGTAAAATACAGTATATCAACAGGACCTTGAACTTTCTGATGGAATGAATCTAGGGCCACAAACGGTCACATCAATAAGCTGCGAGCGACATGAGTGGGTGCAGAGCAATATTTCAACAATCACTTCCAGTTGGAGCTTTTCTTTCAGGCCTACACACCTCGCACAGACCGCCCGATAGTGCTGACCTCATCTTGGCTCCGCGTCTCTGCGAGGCTCTCATTGATCTCCAGGACCTCTAGGAGAAACGCGGGGTCCGCGGCGGCATCCGTTCCTTCCTCCAGCAAAACCCCTCGCAGCTCCAGCTACAGCAGAACATGCAGGTTACACAGGGTAAGCAGCTACTAAAACAGAACTCTGTAACTTTCAGTAGTCATAGATCAGTTAAAGTGCCTATTTTTAAAGTTAGCGCCCACAGATAAACTTAACCTATTTTTCTATACATGTCAAAGTGTAAAAATACAGAACATGGCAACAGCTGATATACTGTACATAATATCTATTTGGGCAGTTAAAGATTTCTGAATGTTACTTTATTTGATTCTAGATTGCTAAATCATTTGCACTGCAAGAGCTCACTTCCATTTTTCTTCATAATTTTAGCTGAATGTATTTTAATAATCTGGTGAGAATGTGATTTTTAAAAAATGTTTTCTATTTTAATATATTTAAAATTGTATTTGTTCATATATTTTATTTTTTATTTATTTTTGTATTGTGCATTTTATTTCTTTTATACGTTTTATTTATTTCTGTGATGCAAAGCTGAATTTTCAGCATTATTACTCCAGTTTTCAGTGTCACATGATCCTTCAGAAATCATTATAATATGCTCATTTGGTCCTTATTATTACTTTTTTTTTTTTTTCAAGGTTGAAAGCAGTTTTCCTGCTAAAATTTTTGTGGAATATTTTTGTTGATACACTACCATTCAAAAGTTTGGAGTAAGTCAAATTAAAAAAATTTAAAAATTTAAATTTTGGATGCATTAAATTTATTAAAAGTTACAGTAAACACCTTTATAATATTACAAAAGATTTATATTTTAAATGTACTTCTTTGTGAAATGTCTTTTTACTGTTTTGTACTGTAAAGTATATGGTAATTCACAGATTGTATTTGCTAAAAAACATAATTTTGACAATATTTCATAGTAAAATGACATTTAATGCATGTTAAGCCTTTTAACTGAATGTTAACTTACAATCCAAAAAAATGCTGGGTGTTTTGACCCAGCGTTTTGGGTAGTTTTATTTAACTCTATTGTTCAAAAATTACTATATGGCTGTCTTAAAATGAAACCAAAATATGTTGTAAATTAAAAATAAGACACATAATTACTAGAGGCATCAGCAATAATCAAAACATGAACATTTATTAATAAGCAATTTAAAAAATAATATTATTTAATTACTATTTATTCAACTTATTAATAATTGTTCATTTCCAACCTAATTTGGGTTCATTTTAAGCAAGAAATATAGCAATTTTTAAGCAATAGTTGAGTTAAATAAAACTACCCAGAAGGCTGGGTTAAACATTTAACCCAACCGCTGGGTCAAAACAACCCAATTGGAGTGCTGGCATGTTTTTAACCCAGCATTTTTAGATTGCAAATTAACTTACCATATACAGTTAAAATTTGATTTGTAAAAGTTTTAAGACATGTAGTGTTAATGTGGGGTGTAGTTAAAAGGTTTTGACTTCATTTTTCGTAAAAAATTACATTTCCTGACATTTTTAGTCTTGTTTTATTATATAAAAACATATTTTTGTGAAATGTCCTATTTTAATGTGTTGGTGCTTCTTTCTTTAAACGTGCATGGTACTTCATTCGATATTCTGTCTGATATATAATGCACATACCGTCTTTAAATTTTAGTGTGGCTTATGCGTCCAAAGTTTTCTGGGGTCACTGTATAAAACCTACAGCTGCCATATGCACAACAAATATTTACTAAACACATAATTACCATGTAGACGGCCCGACTCAGAGGTTTCTGCAGCGTTCTGTAGGCATTGTTCACCAGAGCTGATTGTTCTTCTGAATATTCCTGCTCTTTCTGTAAATAGGATCAGACCACAAAGTCATTCCAAATTAAAGTCATTCTTCTCACGGGCTACAAAAACAATTTCAACAGCCCCTAAAGGCACAAATCGCACAAAGCTCCAAAGCATAAAGCAACCTGAAGAATACTGTGATTGTGGTTTTATGAAGTAACAAAAGAAGTGTTATACAAAAAGAGTCTTACTCTGCCCAAGTTTTCTAACTTTTCCAAACGTTATATAATTACGTACTGTCGTCACATTTATTTTAAGATATCATGACATGTTCTTTGTTTGTGGTAAGGAATTCCTCTTGGGAATGAGCAGAATCGTCAAAAAAAAACGAAACCCCAGCAATGCTGATAATTGCGTCGGGTTTTTTTCCCTGAAGGATCTGGCTGTGTGGGTGGACGCAGAGGGTCTGAGCTATGATGGGAGGCGTCAGGTGGAATAAGAGGTGAGAAAGCACAGAAATGACTTGCAGAGGAGAAACATTTTCAGCTGTCAGAGTTGCCAAAGCCTAGAGATTCAACATCTGGCATGCTGTTGCTGTCAGGAAACCCAATTGGTCTCGCAAAGCATGAACCAATCACCAAAGAACTGTCTGCTGCCTTATAGGAACGATGATAAGCTGCATACCCTTTACCTGAGCATCTAAATAGATATGGACATGGGATACTGAGAGTGTGCTACTACAAAGTTTGATATATAATGCAAAGCAAAAGGGTTAGAAGGTGAATCTGAAATAACAAAACGGTCAAGAATATGTAACACTGAGTCACATGTCACAACAAAATAAAAATAAAAAAATTATAATTATTATTTATAAATAATATAAATAGTTTCCTCATAGTGGTCATTACTAATTGTATGCCAATTTAAATAATTAAAAATGTTTTTCAAAATAATGGAAATGACAAAAAAGCATATGTGTTTGTGTGTACAATGCAGTAAAAAGATGTAAAACATTAATACTGTAAAATTTTATAACAATTCAAAATAGCTGTTTTCTATTTTATTATACATTTTAACACGTAATTTATTTATGTGACTGCAACGTTTGGTTTCTGGCAGAATTTTCAATAAATATTTAATTATTATCAACGTTGAAAACAGTTGTGCTGTTTAATATTTCTGTGTGAATTGTGATACATTTTTTTAATCAGGGTTCAGAGTTTTGTAATTTATTTGTAATAGAAATCTTTTGTAGCAACTGAATGAGTCCTTGCGTTAAATATATAAATAATATAAAATAAAAAACCTTACTGGTCCCAAACGTTCAAGCAATAAAATGTCTGTGTAGGCCTATATGTATTTGTTTGTGTTTGTTTGTTTGTTTGTTTGTGTGTGTGTGTGTGTGTGTGTGTGTGTGTGTACTGGTTTATTTATCCTGGTGGGGACTTAAACCTGAATACACACAGACTAATGGGGACTCGTGTCACGGTGGGGACCTAAATTGAGGTCCCCACGGGTACAAAAGCTTATAAATCACACAGAATGAGTTTTTTTGAGAAAGTAAAAATGCAGAAAGTTTCCTTGTGTGTGTGTGTGTGTGTGTGTGTGTGTGTGTGTGTTCGCGTGTACTGGTTTATATATCCTCGTGGGGACTTAAACCTGACTACACACAGACTCATGGGGACTCGTGTCACGGTGGGGACCTAAATTGTGGTCCCCACGGGTACAAAAGCTTATAAATCATACAGAATTACGTTTTAAAAATGCAGAAAGTTTCCTGTATTTCACAAAAACAAACCTGTGTGTGTGTGTGTGTGTGTGTGTGTGTATTATACCTAAATATGAAATTCACCCTGGAAGACAAAACCTTGGGAAACAAACTTACATACTTTCTATCTTTATTCTTCTGTATATTGTTGGTAACGAACAATGAAGTTTGTAATACAAACTATTCAAAATATATTCTTAGAAAAATGTGCAAAAAAATATATAAAACAAGAACTAGTGCTCTTAAAGATTTACAATTTAGCCATAATATTTTGCTATCCCTTTAATTTACATTTTGAACTCATATTATAGATGAAAACGAAAGTCCATCAAGTAAATCACTAATATTTGCTCATAACTGGTATGGCCACCATATACTTTGCATTCCTACAGTATCTTTCAGCGCTGTTATGCGATATAAAACCAAACCAATAAACTGCATCTCAAAATAAATGCTCGTCCACTCAACATCACACTGTTAATAGTGCTGTGTGAAGTATGGAATATAACAAATTTTGTTTAATATAGTCCATTACCGATGATTTCTGGCTGAAGTTGTCAGGATGGAGAGATCTTTGCAGCTCCACATATCTTTTCTGAAGTCTCTGGGTGTCCAAAGAAAATGTGTGTTCACTGAGGAAAGATCAACATATTCAGTTACATATATGTTATAATGTGATTATGAACTACTTTAAGTTGAAAGCTGAAAGATATATAGTAAAACTGTATCTGTCTGATCATGTAACAACTACTGTATCATATATACTGTATATATTAACAATGTGCTGGCGTCTAAGTAAATAAAGTAAGGAAGGAATACAACTTTTTGGAAGCTCAGGACCAAGAAGCCAGAAAATATTATCCGTGAATCCATAAATGATGCGTTCATAACAATAACAGCGATCTTTAAACTATACCTCCTCTTAAAGGGGTCATATGATGCTTTTTTAAAGATCATTATTTTGTGTATTTGGTGTAACAGAATATGTTGACATGCTTTAATGTTCAAAAAACACATTATTTTTTAAATACTGTACATTATTGTAGGTCCTCTATGCCCCGCCTCTCTCAAACTCTTCATTTTCTACAAAGTCCCTCCTTCCGACAAGCGCAGTCTGCTCTGATTGGCCAGCTGACCCAGTGCATTGTGATTGGCCGAACACCGCAAGCACTCGTCGGAAATGTAACGCCCCTTACCATAATCGCGAGCTTCAGCTTTCAAAATAAATGTAAAGACAGTAAATAATGTCATTAGTTTTACCATCAGTTCAAGCCCGAAAGGGGAACAGAGTCGCGTGACAGACACAGTGATGAAGCTGGTATGTGTTTGCAGTACACAAGCCACGGTTAAGACAGCCTCTCGCACTCAGTAATATTATTATGTGCTTTAGTCATTTTTATTAGTTTTTGTTTTAAATCTATTTAGCTTTAATGCTTTTTTTATTATTATTAGTTCTTCAGCTTAAACTGCTTTTATTTCAGTTAGTAGTCAACAAGTAGGCAACATTTCTCATTTTTATGTAGGTTTAGTAAGTTTAGGTTTTCATCTAATATTTCAAAATTTTATTTCAAGTTTATTTCAACCAACGAAGATAATATTTAACAGGTTTATTTAACAATAACAGTACTCAATATGGCTTTTTTTTTATGTTTTCCAGATTGTGTCGAAAACCAGTATGTCTTTGGAAGGGACGGCGCATGCGATTACACTTTCACCAACCCCATTGTAACACAGTCAACACATTTCAAGGCGTACAGCAAGAAGCACTTTAGGATTTTTAGGGTAAGACCAACATTGAGTTGCTCTTCGTAAAACTAGTTTTTATCAAATAAAACATCAGATGTTTTCTTTTTGTAATTTTAATTTTTTTTTCTCATTAAAAAAAAGTTTTCATTTTAAATATAAATAATTGAACAGTATATCCATAACCTCCCTGTTATGAGGCAATGTCACTCTCTGAACACATTAATCATGGCTGACTGTGAAAAGCACATTTCTACATCAGGTCTAACTCGGTTTTACTTTTACTTCTGTTTCAGGATGAGAATCTCGTCTACCTCGAGGACCTCAGTGGTAATGGCACATGGGTGGACGAAGAGAAAATAGGAAACGGGAATCAAGGACTTCTTAGCAATAACTCTGTTATTGCCCTTGCAGAACAAAAACATCAAGGTTAGTCATCTAGGTGACATTTTTTCAGGAGTTTCTGAAATGTAAACTACAGTTCATACAATAAATCACCTGAAAATGATCATTGTGACGTTATTTTTGCATACAAATGAAAGAATATAGTGTCTAGCGTAGGGCTGGGCAATATAGCTAAAAAATGTATCAACGATATAATGTTTCATATTGTTCGGTATGGATAATTATTGACATTTTTTATAACCCTTTTTAAAACAGAGCAATATAATTTATTTATTTTTTAATTTAACCACTGTATTTTTGATTTACCCAATTTATTAAGACGACAAATATTTTTTTGTTTTGTTTTAACAGTCAAACACAAAATTAAATGTAAACAAATATCTCCTTTCTTATGTTTTATATGCGGATTAAGTCTTAAACGGGTCATATGATGCTTTTTTAAAGATCATTATTTGGTGTATTTGGTGTAACAGAATATGTTGACATGCTTTAATGTTCAAAAAACACATTCTTTTTCAAATACTGTACATTATTGTAAGTCCTCTATGCCCCGCCTCTCTCAAACGCTTCGTTTTCTACAAAGTCCTTTCTTCCGACAAGCGCAGTCTGCTCTGCTCTGATTGGCCAGCTGACCCAGTGCATTGTGATTGGCCGAACACCGCAAGCACTCGTTGGAAATGTAATGCCCCTTACCATAATCGCGAGCTTCATCTTTAAAAATAAATGTGAAGAAAAGTAAATAATGTCATTAGTTTTACCATCAGTTCAAGCCTGAAAGGGGAACAGAGTCTCGTGACAGACACAGTGATGAAGCTGGTATGTGTTTGCAGTACACAAGCCACATTGATCTGCTAACCGTTATGCTCACGTGTCGTCTGATAATAATAGCTTTTAGCCTACTGATTGCCACCATTGATGGACAAATGTTTTTAATAATATGAATATCTGTATGACCGCAGTTCTTCCCTGCTGTACCAAATATCTATACTTTTCAAATTATCATATCGAAGTTAGAAATTCAAATATTACAAAATTAATTTTGTAGGGTGCCACAAATTTGTCACAAATTTACAAAGGACTAAAGAAAGGTTGGGAAACACTGGGCTAGACTAACAAAACATTAAAATGCAACAACGTCACTTACATCATTATCACCGCATCTCGTGTGCCACTGATAAGGGTCCCGGAAGCACACATAACATTCGATTGCACCGTTTTTGCATTCAAATGCAATTTTTATTATTTTTTTAATTCGACTAACATTCATTCTTTATTCACAATCTCCTCATCACAGACAGGCACAGCACTCATTTCAGCATTTGTTCGTGTGCTGTCTGCGTCCCTCATAGCACGTGCCTATATCGTGCACGATATCGAAAATTTTTTCTATCGTTATCGAAGAAGGTGTACCGTTTGATAAATACGATACCGTTTTATCGCCCAGGCCTAGTCTAACGGCTTTCAAGGTCTAAAAGGACAAAAAAAATTGTAGCTCTGAACTCTAATTTGATTGGTTCTTTTTTTCCACAGTTTTTATGTTCATCGATAAGATGGGGGACAATCAACCAAACCTTCCTTTAGAGTTCAGCAAAAAATATCACATAGCACAAAAGATTGCAACGTAAGTGAACTTCTCATTTTCAGAAACCTTCAGAATATCATTACTGAGTTACTCTAAGCTTCATTATGCGTTTATGGTCCTAGCAGATATTTCTTACCACACTGATGCTTCCTGCACAATATTGTTGTATTTGATTATTGTGTACATTTGTTTTTGCAGTTTATTGTACTTAGCCCAAAAACCTCTGTTTGTGTTTTCTGACAGAGGCGTCTGTGGTGAAGTTAAGCTTGCCATTGAAAAGGAAACCTGTAAAAAAGTTGCTCTGAAAACTATAAACAAACACGACTTCCCATCAATAGGGGTAAGAAATGGGTGCATGTATAGATTATTATGAAATATGCATAGTGCTGCTTATGATACACATCGTTTCATACTGTTTATAATACTTTAATGCCTTATAGTCCACATTGAGCAGTGCAAAAAGATATTTAGCAATGATATTAAAGATCAGCCAGTTTATTTTAACCTGAATTTATTGTATAAACAGTAATATTGTGAAGTATATTATTACAATTTAAAATGACTGCTTTCTGTTTTGATATATTAAAATGTAATTTATTCCTTCGATCAAAGCTGAATTTTCAGCATCATTACTAGGTATCACATGAGCCTTCAGGAATCAGTCTAATATGCTGATTTGCTGCTCTTGAAAACAGTTTTTTAATACTTTTCTGGAAACTGATACTTTTTTTTATCAATTGAATCAGTCCTCGCTGGTTAATACAATTTTCAAATAATGCTACATCTGCCCTTTGTTGTTTATGAAGAGAATTTGCAAGAGCTGACTTCAGTCCGCACGCTGAACAACAAAACTCTGCTGTTTCAGCGATGACTCATCTGAACGTCTCTGATTGGCCATTGCATTCATAAGCTCAACATAATCGTGTGTGATTGGTTATAACGCCAACACTGTAAAAACGTGGAAAAATAAATATAATGGAACAAATAAGCCCTAATATTAATTAGTTTTACTAGCCTTATAATAATCGGACTAACCTCTGATAATATCTCTGACTATCGTCGATACACGATACTATCGTCTATAGGCACAACCCTAATTTGAAGGTAATCATTTGTTTTTGCTGCGATACTTGGGGTGCTTTCACACCTGGCCTGTTGTTTCGGAACCTGGTGCGTTTCCCCCCCTTAGCTCGGTTCGTTAGGGCATATGTGAACACCGCAATCGTGCTCGGATCCGCGCCAAAACAATCGGTCCGAGATCGCCTGAACGAGGTGGTCTCGGCTCGATTGAAAACGAACTCTGGTTCGGTTGTAGTGAGAAAGCAATCCGATCTAACGGACCAACGAACCAGGCTATATCACAATGTATGATGGGTAATTACGTAAATTCCGTGAAAAGCATTAGCTTTGTTGTTTTGCTAATACCTCCAAATGAACCTGTGAATGTCTGTGGGTGAGCACGTCTTCGCCCAAATGAAAGCGCACTTTTTCATTTTATAATGCCCTCTTATTGCGCTTCTTCGTAGTAGGTGCATTTTAAAAAAAAATTCCCGATGAATCCTGGACTCCAGAATTAATATAACTGACGGATGACAGCCTTGACAGCTAAGTGGAATCCCGGAAAATAAACCATGGAACTTTGACCAATGAGAGAACAGTTTACTCGCGCGTGACTTGTATTAACAAATTTGGCCCGTTTCCAAACTTTGCCGTGTGAAAGCGAACCACACCAAGAATAAAAAGCAACATTGTAATAATTTAAATCCCTGTTTCGGAACAAAGCAATCGATCAACAGGTGTGAAAGTTGTTTTCAATTTAGAAAATATTAGTGTTGTGTGAGACCTATTTCATGAGAATTACTATTAGGTGATGTGTATCCATTAAAAAAGGACGTATAATGCTTTAGGATTTTGTCCGTACACACTAATGTTTAAAATGACTCATACCTGATTCATTTTGTGTTTGTGTTCTACAGACGGCCACACGAAATGCAGAACGGGAAATTGAAATTTTAAAGAAAATTGATCATGTAAGTCATGAATGAGTCTTTAAATGCTACAGAGCTATAGATAAAACATCTCATCGTATTTCTCGTCCCTGCAGCCGTGCCTGATCAAGACAGAAGATTTCTACCAGACAGAAGATTCTTACTACATTGTTTTGGAGTAGTAAGTTCCTGTGGCGTTTTGTTGGAGAATAGTTAGCAACATGAACTCGCAGGCCGAATTAACTTGGGTACAGATTATTTCTATCTGTATTTGTATTTTTAGATCCTTTAAAGAAAAGTTGCCGTGAGTTGCTAGACAAGGAAGCACTGCATATTCTTACCTGTTCTACACAATTGTCAGTCTTTTTTTTTTT